TGAACACCCCAATGAAGATTAAGCAGAAGGGAATGACCTTAAAAACACCTTTATGAAAATGATAGAGGCCCTCAAAGAGGATGTGAGAAAATCCCTTAAAGAAATGGAAGAAAAAACAAACCAAAAAATGCAAGAAATAGAAGAAAAACAAACCAAAAAAATCCAACAAATGGAAGAAAGGGAGGAAAACACGAAGCAAATTTACAAGAAACAATTCAAACAGTGCAAGGACTGAAAGCTGACATGGAGACAATAAAAAAACACAGTCTGAAGGAATGCTGGAAATCGAAAAACTGGGGAAACGGACAGGTACTACAGACACAAGCATAACCAACAGAATACAAGAGATGGAAGAGAGAATCTCAGGTGTTGAAGATACACTAGGAGAAATAGATTCACCAATCGAAGAAAATCTGAAGTCCAACAAATCCCTAATACAAAATATCCAGGAAATATGGGACACCGTGAAAAGACCAAACCTAAGAATAATAGGTATAGAAGAAAGTGAAGAAATCCAACTCAAAGGGACAGAAAACATATTCAACAAAATCATAAAGTTGCTGACCAAGATTAATTTACATTATACCTACAAAAAATACAACATGATGCCTGGCACATAATGGGTGCTAAATAAACTTTGGGAGACATTATTAGGGCCATTCTATTATTAGTATAAACCAATTTACCGGGTTTTTTGTTTTTTAATTCAAACAGGGTCTTACTATGTAACCTTGTCTGTCCTGGAACTCGATATATTAACCAAGCTGGCCTTCAACTCAGAGATTTCTTGCTTCTACCTTCCCAGTGCTAGGATTAAAGGTGTGTGCCATCATGCTGAGTTATTTAGTGGGTTTTTACAAGTGGCAAATGAAGCATACGAACTGACAACACTTAGCTCGTATATTTGTGGAGACTGGGACTCTTAAATCCCCTAGATCCTAAAACTTTTCTCTTTCTTTCTTTCTTTCTTTCTTTCTTTCTTTCTTTCTTTCTTTCTTTCTTCCTTCCTTTCTTTCTTCCTTCCTTTTTTTTTTTTTTTAAAGATACAGGGTCTCTCTACATAGCCTTGGCTGTCCTAAAACTTACTGTGTATACCAGGCCATCTTCAAATTCACAAAGATCTGCCTGCCTTTGCTTCCTGAGTGCTGGAATTAAAGACCACCACCTCCCCAGCATTCGGGAGGCAGAGGTGGGCAGATCTCCATGAGTTCAAGGCCAGTCTGGTGTACATAGTGAGTTCCAGGACAACCAGAGCTACACAGACACACCCTGTCTCAAAGAACCAAAACAACAACAACAACAAAAAAAAGATCACTACTCTCTGCCCAGAATCTAAAATATCTTGGTGGATGTTTTGTTTTCCAAATCCAGACTATAATATAATATAATATATCTTAAAACTTGCTGCTTTAAGACATAAGTGACCCTCAATAAGCTACCACAACCACAACATATATGTAATTTAAAATTACCTACTATCTACGCATTAAAAAGAAACAAGTGAATTTTAATGTTTTATATACTTTACTACATTCAATTAGAGCATGTAATAAATCTAAAAGTATTATTGATATGTTTTACATTCCTTTCTGATACTTGAAATTAATGTATTTTATATTAACAGTTCATCTTAATCTGGACCAGCCTATTCCATGATATCACTGGTGAGGGAGCCCTAAGTGACACCTCTGACCACCCCAGGCACCTGGTTCATATGTACATACCCAGATAAACATGATTAAAAATAAAATAAATCTTTAAAAAAAAAACTGCTCCAAAACAAAATCCCCAGAACTTCTCTGAGGCATTTTACTTTCAGAGTAAGGGTTCTCTTATGGGATCCATGAACAACTTTTAAGAACTAGCTGGGCATGGCGGTGCACACCTATAACCCCAGCATTCAGGAGGCAGAGGTAGGTGGAAATTTTTGAAGGCAGGCTGGTCTACATAGTGAGCTCTAGGCCAATTAGGGTTACTCAGAGAGATCCTGTCTTAAAAAAAATAAACATAGTAAGTACAGATCAAGTTTCTGGAAGTAGAAAAAGAGCAACTAGCAACCTAAAGATTTTAAGAACAGCTTAACAAGAGATATTTAACTTAGGCCATAAAGCATACAATGTTAAAAGTATGCCCAGGCCAACAAGAACAGTAAAATCAGAGACAATGAATAATACAAGAGGAGGCAGGCTGAGGCGAGAGGCAATATGCTCACATGCATATTACGGTTAGAGGAAAGGGATTAGTATAGTTTGAATGGGAATGTCCTCACAAGTTGTTACATTTGGATACGTGGTCTTTAGCTGGCATTGCTATTTGGGAGGTTGTGGGGAGTCTGGTGTGGCTGGAGAAGTTAGGTCACCAGGAGCGGGCTTTTGAAAGTTATAGGCCAGCCCCATTGCCAGTGCAGCCTCTGCTTTCAGGTCTGGCAACTGTATGAGAAGCTCTTTAACAGGTTCCACTCCCACCGTCCAGCTTACTTTGCTATGATGGACTGAAGCCTCTGAAACTGTGAGCCAATATAAATCCTGCCACCACCACCACCACCCCCCACGGATCAGTTGCTTCTGTCATGTATTTCCTCATAGTGAGAAGAAAAGTGACTAATAAAAGGGTAAAGCAGAAGTGAGAGGTTGGTTATAGCACTCTGCTTAGTGCTGAAGATAGAAAGAGCAAATACAATCCCTGCTGTTATGAAGTTTTACAGTGCCATAGGAGACAATATACTGTAGGAAATGTCTAAAAAGAATGGTCAGGATGATAGTGGAAATGCTATGGGGTTTTTGTTGTTGGTTTTTGTTATTTAGAGATGGACAGGGTCTCTCTGTGTAGCCCTGGATGTCCTAGATCTCTCTCTGTAAGCCAGGCAGACTTTGAACTCAGAGATCTGCTTGCCTCTGCCTTCTGAGTGCTGGAATTAGAGGTGTGTGCCTCTGTGCTCTGTAGGGGAACACCATGAAGAAAGAAGAGCCCTTCACATACAGTGATCAAAAATGAAAATGGGATTCAACTAAGGACAGGGACCTAATGGAGGCCTGAACAGTATATCCTATGTCAAGTCCTTGGAATCCAACATCTTCATCTCTGAACCAATGAAAGGGCCAGTAAGATGGCACAACGGATAAGACACTTGCCACCAAGCCTGACAATCTTAGTTTGATCCTCAGGACCCACCTGGTGGGAGGAGACAGACAACTGAGCGGAAAATTTTTCTCTGGCCTTTCCATATGTATCACAGCACATTCACATACATGTGTGCACATACAAATACATAAAATAAACGCTAAAAAAGTAATAAATGTAGAATCTTCTGTCAGAAACCAACTTAGTAAATATCACATATACTGTTTGAATTCTTTCCTGTTTCATACTTATATACATTCATTCTAATATATTATAAAGACTCAAAGACAAAAATCTCATGAGTAAAAATTTTTGTACAGAAAAAAAAACCTTATTCACAAAAATGATGCCGGGCATTGGTGGCACACACCTTTAATCCCAGCTCTTGGGAGGCAGAGGCAGGCGGATCTCTGTGAGTTTGAGGCCAGCCTGGTCTACAGAGTGAGTTCCAGGACAACCTACAAAACAATACAGAGAAACCCTGTCTCTGGGGAAAAAAAACAAAACAAAACCTTTTATTCACAAAAATGAAAGGCTAGGTATATAATGAAGTATCCAAAAGACATGGTGATCTAATGTAAACTTAAAAAACTGAACAAGTATAGCTTTCGCATAGGTAGATGAGTCTTATTGTGACATGGTAAGGTGACATAATCAAAGTTTGCCTATGTTACAGGTCTCACTTAAAATACTTCGACAAATGTCATGTCATTTCATATATAAATGTATCACATACTGATAAAATGTGACCATAATCTAAAACAAGGTTTTATAACTCTTTAGCTTTCATAGTACAGTAGAAAAAAAAACTTAGGTATTAGTTATTGGCAAAAGCTTAACTGCCCAAATGGAACAAATATTAGAAATGACAACAAAAGTTAAACAGTATTTTAGCTATGGTGCACTAATTCCTATTAAAATAGCTACAAAGACATTTTATGCATGAAACAACTGTTCAAGTCAAGAAAGCAAGTGTAGAACACTGAAGAATTTGTCTGTTTAAATCAGCTTGAGAGACACAGAGACAAGTGTTTTCCTATTTAGCTGCCTAAGTATTAATATACATACACACACAAGCAAGCAAGAATGTTTAATGGAGCAGGTCTTGTCAACATCAAATCTAAACATCGTTATAGACATAGTAACCAAATGTTCACTTCCATTTTAAACCAAAGTAGTAAAAAGGTATAGGTGTGTGTGTGTACATGCATATATGTGTGTGTGTATTTATGAGTACGTGTGTGTGTGTGTGTGTGTGTGTGTTTGTGTATGTATTTGTGGGTACATGCATATATGTGCGGGTGTGAAGGCAAGAGGTCAACAGTAGCCGGGCGTTGGTGGCGCACGCCTTTAATCCCAGCACTCGGGAGACAGAGGCAGGTGGATCTCTGTAAGTTCAAGACCAGCCTGGACTACCAAGCGAGTTCCAGGACAGCCTCCAAAGCCACAGAGAAACCCTGTCTCGAAAAAAAAAAAAAAAAAACCAAAAAACCAAAAAACCAAAAAAAAAAAAAGAGGTCAACAGTGAGCATCTTCCTCAGTCACTCAGTTACTCTGATTTCATTTAAGCAGAATTATGGTGTTTAATTTAGTAAAGCAGCATTTCTCAAACTATGCATTAGAAATGAGGATATGTGCCAGGTATTGGTGGCTTAGCACTCGGGAGGCAGAGGCAGGCGAATCTCTGTGAGTTTGAGGCCAGCCTGATCTACAGAGGGAGTTTCAGGACAGCCTCCAAAGCAATACTGAGAAATCCTGTCTTGAAACCACCCCCCCTCCCCGAAAAAAAGAAATGAGGATATGTTTATGTAATACACATATGTTGAACATATAATCTATATGTGTGCCTATAAAGTCAGCTATATTTTTATTTTACATACCTCTGCAGGTCAACTATTTCATTGTTAAGGGTATCTAGTTCCTTAATAGCAGAGAAATCTGCAACAGGACTTGATCCTGTGATGGCCTAAAAACAGAAAATTCACAGTTATAAATTACTATTAAAAATGCTAAGCACTCAAAATGCTAAAGCTATACACGGTAACAAGATATTCCACTTCACTACATTATTAGCACTTTTAAATCATTTAATAAAATACTTCGCATAATCATATATACATGGTTGTTAATTATACATACACGTGTATATTAAGACAGTTCCCTTACCTCCCCCAGAAAGCTATTATTCAATAATATGAATACACACTTCAGATCCCATTGCCTTTGTCTCACGATTCTAGCTTACCCAGAATTCTGCAGTAAATAAAACACATGCTAAATTAAAAACGAATTCCTTCACTGAGATGTGTTATTTGTCAGGAAGAAGGATGACGATTTATTTCCATTCACATCATCCAACACAGAATAAGTACACAGATTTTGTTGACCCTCAGAATTATAATGGTGGTTCATTTTATTCAATTCAACAAATACTAACTTTGTTAAATGCTTTTATTATCTGCTCTAACCTAAAACCAACTAACCAACTTCTCAAATATGTTCTATAATAAATACTATTACCACATATGTAACTCTGTATATATGAAATCTTTATTTATTTATTTACTTTTTTAGTGTGTATTAAGTGTTGTTCTGTTTTTTTGTTTGTTTCTTTGTTTTTTAAACAGGGTTTTTCTGTAGCTTTGAAGCCTATCCTGGAACTCACTTTGTAGATCAGGCTAGCCTCAAACTCAGAAATCTGTCTGTCTCTGCCTCCCGAGTGCTGGGATTAAAGACCTGCGCCATCACTGCCCAGCTCTATTTTTTTTTAAGAGACTCAGTTCTGTGTGTCTGTGCATGCATGTGCACACTACAGAGAGGCCAGAAAAAGGCATCAGATCCAGTTTTAGGTGGTTGTAAGTAGTCTAACCCAAGTTCTGGGAGTCAAACTCCAGTCCCTCTGCAAGAGCAGTACACACACTTAACTGTTAAAGTCATCTGTCCAACCCATTTTTGGTTTTTAGAGAAGGATCAAATTTACACAAGACAGCCTTAAACTTGTCATGGAGACAATGGTGACCTTGTCTCCTACTAGGATTACATGGCGGCACCAGTATACCTAACACATAGTTTTATTTTAATAAGGGTATCAGAATTGGTTACCAAATGGTACTTATATACATACAAAATTTAAGTTCAATCTAGATTCTGTTATTTTATTAACTTTATCCTCTTCACCAGAAAAGTGAAGAAAGAAATGTCTGCCCTGCCTACCTAGATAAAATGAAGTAATTTTCTTTTTTGAACTCCCATGATATCCTGTTTAGCTTTCTAATGTCAAAACAAGAGGATAACTGTTCCTTTATATACACTATTACAATGAGGTTAATAAATAACAGAATCATCAGCTTATGGAAATCATAAAACTGAAACCTGAATGTGTGAGATCTAAGATGTATTAGTGACCTTATTAGCAGAACATTAAACTAATGTGAATTTAATGTGTCACCAACTCACACAGCAAAAGAGATCTCAAAGTTCCATAATATTCAATTTCCTCACCCTTACAATCATTAAAATTTACTACGCACTACTAAGCCCATCAATCAGTTCTCAAAAGTAATCTGAAAATTGGATCATTGGGAGTAAGTACTAGCTAAATTTAGAGCTGAGGTAAAAGACTAAGTGACTTCTCAAAGTTGAACCCAGCTATGAATTTGATCAAAAGTCTTCTGATTAGGCTGGGCGGTGGTGGCGCACGCCTTTAATACAAGCACTCGGGAGGCAGAGGCAGGCGGATCTCTGTGAGTTTGAGGCCAGGCTGGACCGACAGCCTCCAAAACAATACAGAGAAACCCTGTCTCGTAAAACCAAAAAAAAAAAAAAAAAAGGAAAGTCTTCTGATTAAATAAAACTGTCAGTTCATAACATGACCTTTGGCATTTGTATGCAAAAATAGCTTAGAAAACACTGTGCTAAAAGGAAATTTGGTAAACAGGTTGATAAAAGCTGACAAATAATTCCTTCTTTTTAAAAAAAAAAAATCACACAGCCTGCTAGTATTGAGTGGTTTTGACTAGCAGTGTTAAAACTCATCTATATATTCAATTAGTTATGCTTCAAATTTTATATTAATTACAACTTTACATCAAATATACTTCTTTTGGAGGGGCAGTTGAGCCTAGGCTAGCCTTAAACTTATTGTAAACCTACTGCCTCAGCCTCTGGAGTACTGAGGTTACTAGTGTACATTGTCATAATAATACTCAAAAATACCTAGCTATTTTACTAAACCCCACTGGTATACAGACTGTTACTGATTCTATATTAAATTAAGAATTTTAAAGCAGATTTCTGTATGAGATAGTTATTCACTAAGTTTTCACTTTATTTAAACTTGACCTTTGGGTTAGGATGAGTCAGGCAGGTGAAAAAGAAAATGAAAAAATAGAATTTGATCTCACTCTCATCACCAAGTAACTTCTATCACTTAAATGCTACTGAGAAGTGTTCTACCAGAGGTGCAAGTATACCAGGAAACACGAGGCTTCCACACCTCTTCTGTCATTCCAACTTTAAAAAGTGAATCACATTTGACAGTCTTTGCTACTAAAATACCAACAGGCAAGAGGATACACTTAAACAAATTAGTTTAACCTCAAGCAAGTTCGAAGGTAATAGCTTTATATGACTAAAATGGCATGCAAGCAAATATGGAAAAGTTCAACTAAATATCTGCATAGCATGTGAAGGGTACACAGGAATGTAGAATGGCCTTTTTTAAAAATTACTTTATCCATTTATTTAATTTTGATTTTTTATATGTATGGGCATTTGCCCACTTACAAGTCTACACTGAATAAGTGCTAGGTGCCTGTGGATCCCACAAAACTGGAGTTACAGATGGTTGTAAGCTGTCATGCCTGGAATCACACCCAGGTCTTCCAGAAGAGCAGCCAGGGCCCTTAGCTGCTAAGGCATCTTCCACACACTCCATTTTTGTTTACTTTGTATGTGTATGAGTGTTTTGTCATATGTATGGAAGTGCACCATGTACATATATAGTGCTGGTGGAAGCCAGAAGAGGGTACCAGCTGCTGCAGCACCCCCTAGAACTGGAGTTGCAGACAGTTGTGAAGTCCCCATGTAAGTGCTGGGAACCAAACCTGGATCCTTTGGAAGAGCAGTCAATGCTCTTAACTGCTGAGCCATCTCTCCAGCCCTGTATGCACCCTTACAAGTATTTTCTTTCACACTGTTTTGTGAATTTCCTAAAAGCCTCACCTTAGTGATTTTAAGTGGATTAAGGAGTCTAAGGAAGGTAAGCCACAGGGCATGCAAGTATCAAGTGACACATGACAGAAGCATGCTGATCTGCTGTTTTCATTATTTATTAACTTTTATACATAAAAACCACTCTAATTTCGAAATATATCATGTAACTAAAAAGCTGTAACACTAAAATACAACAAAGACAGCATAAAATAAAGCTCTAACCTTGAGAGAGAGGAGAGTTAAGAAACTGACAGTACAAGAAAGGCGAAAGCAGAGTGCTGCAGAATGGAAAAAACAGTCCAAACTAGAGAAAACACAGAAGGAGGAAAGCGACATTCAAAAGGGATTAGTTGAAACTACCAAAAACAAAAACAAAACAAAAAAACAAATGCAGTACCTTTTTTAAAAAGTCAGATTATAAGTCAAAAAGAGATTATTTGAAAGTACAAATTTTAATGTTTTTGGTTAAATAGATAAGGCAACAATTATAAAATATCCCAATGACTCTGACACCAAGTGTTAAGTACACCTTTGTATGCTCTAGTGAATGAACTTATGAGAAGTCTAAGTACAAACTATGTCAACAGACACAACTTTAAGTGTCTCTTGCATACAGATTTCAGGAACAGACAAAACTGATTCAGTAATTTCTGTTCTCTTAGAAATTAAGAGTTGGTGAGAGTTTCAAAAGGAAAAACTCTACATAAGTGAAGCTTGCAGTGCTACACAGCTGAGATATAGAACAGAGCACAGAGCGTTTAAGAATAAATCAGTACCTTCATCTTTCTGTGTGCATCACTTTCAGCCTCTCAACAAACTAGGAAACATGTCAGACATCAACGAGTCTAAAAACTCACAAAGTACAAAACTCATTCATATATCTAATTCTCAGGACCTGGCAGATGTGAATTTTATTTAGTTTACCTGAGGGGGAAAAAGTCCATTTCTGATTTTTGTTAGATTAAAATGGAAATTTTAACTATACTACAAAATTAATTAAAATCAAAACATTCTATTGGTACTCGAAAGTTCTTAATAACGCACATTTGACAGCTCCTGTTACTTACAACCCTAAAAAGTCACTACAGCAATATTTATATTGCAGGTGAAAAGGGATTTAAAGATACAAAGTTTGGGGGATGCTTTATTTTCTTTGGGTCTTTTGCTTTTGAGACGAGGTCTTCTTGCACTGCCCAGGATAGCCTTGAACTTCTGGATCCATGAATTCTTTAGCTTCAGCCTACCCAGGAGCTAACAGGTTCAAACCATACCCGGTTATTTTGTTACTTTGAAAAAAGTAACTAAACCCACCACTGTAAGTCTTTTGAAACGTCTATTACAGACCAGGATATTGTAAATATACTGTATTTTAAAAAAAACGTTTCTAGATAAGGAAGAAAAAATTCAAAGTACAACATGGTTAAAATAAAGATGTTTTGAAAATTCCCACCACTGACCAGAAACCCAACTAACTTCTAGATGTTTAGATATGAAGTATATACATTTTATGGCAAAGAACACTTACAGATGTTCCTCAACATACAATTTTCTTGAAGGTTATTTTTTATTTTTTTTATTTTTTGAGACAGGGTTTCTCTGTATTGTTTTGGAGGCTGTCCTGGAACTCGATCTGTAGACCAGGCTCAAGCTGCCTTCGAACTCACAGAGATCCGCCTGTCTCTGCCTCCTGAGTGCTGGGATTAAAGGTGTGCGCCACCAACGCCTGGCTTGAAGGTTATTTTGATGTAAAATTGACACCAAGCAATCACTATCTCCTAGATTTTGTTTCCAAATTTGTATTGTTTTCTGTAAGAGTGAAATGTAACAATTTAATTCTTACAGCTAACATTTTTTTCTTTTATGTTTTTGGTGCATGCTTATAACTCTAGCATTTGGGAAGTGAAAGGAGGAAGGATCAGAAGTTCAAAGTAATTCTCAGTTACATAGTGTTCAACACCAGGCTGGGCTATATGAGACCTGTTTCAAAAAAAAAATCCCTTCAATTTAACAAACTACAGCTGTCATATGAGTAATGAATAGTGGGGTTGACAAGCTGCAGTTCAAGGATGCTATAGGAGGGATGTGAGCAGAAACAGCTGACCTGAACAAGGGGGAGCTCATGGACCCCACAGACTGATGGCTGAGAGCCCAGCATGGGGCCCATCCAGACCCCCTGAAAGTGGTTGTCAGTGAGGAGGCCTTGGGTACTAGATCAGTACTTATCCCTGACATCTGAAAGAACTCTGGGAGCCCATTCCACATGGAGTGATGCTCTCTCAGCCTGGACACATAGACCCTGCCCCAGAAGATATGACAAACTTTGAGATCCCCCATGAAGGGCCTCACCCTCCCTGGAGAGTATAGTGGGGACTGGGTGGAGGGCTGGGGGGGTTGGGGGAGGAGGGAAAGGAGAAGGAGCTGGGATTGACATGTGAAACAAGCTTGTTTCTAATTTAAATTAAAAAAAGGAAAAAAAAAGGGATGTGAGCATGCTCACAGATACACACTAAACTGACAACAGAGAGGCTCTGCCCCTCCACCTTTGTGACTAGACACAGGCATGCAGATCTTCTTTGAGGTTATCTTACCTTTTGTAAACTAGACCTGTCTGATGGTGGAATCATCTCAGGAGTGAGAATATGAGGAGGATCAATGCCCTTTGTTAACTTTTGATTGATTAAGTGAAAAGCCAAGGCAAACTGGTCTTTTGAAAGCTTCCCACAGTTCTTTGTGTCACACAGAGCCCTATATAAATAAACAAAATGAATAATATATAAATCTACAATTATTATTCCCAAAATCCATGAGAAAAATGATTTTAACTTTTTAAAAATAATCAGCTGAGTTGAAATAGGCAGATCGTATAGCCTACTTAAAACTCACATAAATGATACAGAGGTGTACTACATTAAAATACTATAAAGAAGCCAGGCATGACTTCAGTCACAGCTCTCAGAAGGCAGAGGCAGGCAGATCTCTGAATTTGGGGCAAGCCTGGTCTACAGAGCGAGTTCCAAGACTGCCAGGGCTACACAGAGAAACCCTGTTGAAGAAAGGAGGAGGAGGAAGAAGGAAGGAGGAAGATGGGAGGAGGAGGAGGAGGAGGAGGAGGAGGAGGAGGAGGAGGAGGAGGAGGAGGAGGAGGAGGAGGAGGAGGAGGAGGAGGAGGAGAAAAGAAGGAGGGAGGAGGATTACCAAAGCCAGGGAAACATCACAAAGAGAAAGCAGAAAGAATGGCTAAGCAGGACGATGGAGGGGGTGCTGTGGAATGCTGTCTTATGGAAACAACACAGCAGCTGGGGTTACTTGTCTAAGGCTGAGTTCATCAGCACTGCTGCATGGGAAGGAAAGGAGCACACGAGGTCCCACTCTTGCTGAGGTTGTTAATGGCTGCCCAGGAAGGGAAGTCATTTTTCTTCAGTGAAGCAGTCACTAGTAAGCTGCACATGATCCAGTAAAGAATTTTACATCGTGGGTATGCAAGCAACCCTAATTAAGCTCAGGAGGTTACTAGAAAACAAATAAAAAGTTAAAAGTAGACATAATGTAAAGAAGAGCTCCAGAGAGTGGAAAGGTGGTAAAACAGGGTAACAGGCTTAGGGTTTTTCTGTAGCTTTGGAGCCTGTCCTGGAACTCACTCTGTAGACCAGGCTGGCCTCAAAACTCACAGAGATCCACCTGCCTCTGCCTCTTTTAACCCCTCTGCTGGGATTAAAGGCATGTGCCACCACTGCCTGGCTGACAATAAATGTAAGAGCACCAGAAAATACAGTAAAACCTGTCAATTGAAGGAAGAGAACACATGTTTCATTCTATTTGTCTTTTTTTCTTCTTCTTATGCTTAATTCTTTGAAAGTCAGTGTCGCCTGATGAAAAATAACTGGAACACAGCATTAAGCTTAATGTGGATTCCAGCTTTTCTCTTAACTACTTAAAACCTCGAAAAAAAAATCAAGGTCTCAATCTTAGTTTCATCTATAAGTAAAGATACTCTTTTTGTGAGGGACCATAAGAAAGGCAATGTATGATTAAAGCCCGAGCACAGAACCAAACCCATTTGTGACAGTTACCTTTGTTATGGGTGCTTAACCTAGGCACTCAAAGATTGCAGATTCAGCTATGCAAGTATAATCTTTTCCAGTCTCAATACTCATCTCTCTTGAATCAGACCCACTATGCTTTGCTCTCCATCAAGTTTTTCTTTGAAACTTCTTGTGTTTGTTGCTTTTTTAAAACCTCAAAATAACATCTGGTATAATAAACCAGGGTGGTGGCAGGCATAGGACAAAGCAATTTCATTTGCATTATCATATGTAATATGAACTGCATGGCCAACAAACAATTGTCATACCAAGGTATAGTGCACATACCTCTTACAGGATTAGACAGGTACACTATTACTTTATTTAAATAAAAACACTATCTTGTATAAACTTTACAAACAAAACCTCATCCAGCTAAACTAATGTAGCCATTCAAACAAGCAACCTCCTAGACTAAAAGTCTATATACCTCAATGAATATATTCAAATTCAATGAGTACATACAGCTATTCTGAAGCTATAGAATTTTGCTTATAGGTTTATGCACAAAAACTGAAAAGTCTATGACAGAGTTAAAACTAGAAACACAACTTTTATACTCTCTTTGAAGACTCATGCATTCTTTACCTGTACCCATCCTTCCTCACCACCCTTTCCTACTCTCCTACTGCATGTAACATTTACTATTCTCATGTACACGCATTTGTTTGCAGGTATACACGAATAAGCTATAGGCAAGGACGCACAAGAACACTCAAGATTTTTCTTTCTGATACCAAAAGACATTTGCACCCCTGTTTATTGCTGCTCTATTCTGTATATGAAATGAGACCAAGAGACCTTCATCAACACATAAATGGCTAAATATGTATATATATGGATACTATTCAGCTCTAAAGAAAAATGAAAAAGAATTTTTTGAGACATGGTCTCATTTATTCCAGGCTGGCCTTAAAGTAGCTGGACAGGACCTAATCGATCCCGTACTTCCATGGGCACTGGGATTGCAGGTATATACCACCACACCCAATTTATGTAACACAAGGGATCAAATCCAGGCCCTTCTGCATGCTATATCTCCAGCCCCTAAAGGCACTACTTATTAAACTGTTCAAATTTCAGATATCTGGATTCTCTTAAGAACATTCGATTTTAATTAGTATAAACAAATGAAATGTTACACTTTTTAAAATTCCTACTTTTGAATTTTGTTCATTGTACACAATAATTCTTCAGATTTGAATTTCCTCTATTAAAAAATTAAACAAATACTAACCCATTTGTGCTGATATTTTGTTTGTGATCTAACAAATAAAGCTTAGCCATAGACACCAGGCAGTGGTGGTACATACCTTTAATCCCAGCACTCAGGAGGCAGAAGCAGGTGGATCTCTGTGAGTTCAAGGCACCCTGGGCAACGAGACTGATCCAGTCTAAAAGAGAAACAGAGTCAGGCAGTGGTGACTCACACCTTTAATCCCAGCACTAGAGACAGGAGTAATATGGCTGGGCAAAGAGATTAATACAATGCAGGAGACAGGAGCTCATTGCATTTAATCTGAGGATTCAAAGGGACAGGGTTGCCCCTTTGGTCTGAGGATTCAGTAGAGATAAGAGGTCTCTCTTGTGGCTGGTTCCTTTACTTCTTGACCTTTCAGCATTTACCCTAATATCTAACTCTGGCTTTTTATTATTAAGACCTATTCACAAAAACTAGTAAAAAAAAAAAAAAGACTGTGGTGGGAGGAGGGGAGGGAAAGGGAGAGGGACGTGAGATTGGCATGTGAAGAAACCTTGTTTCTAATTTGAATTTAAATTTAAAAATAAAAATTTTTAATAAAAAATATAAGACTGTATGAAAACTAGAGTTGTAGCCGGGCGGTGGTGGCGCATGCCTTTAATCCCAGCACTCGGGAGGCAGAGGCAGGCGGATCTCTGTGAGTTCGAGGCCGGGCTGGACAGATAGCCTCCAAAACAATACAGAGAAACCCTGTCTCGTAAAAACCAAAAAAAAAAAAAAAAAAAAAAAAACCAAAAAAACAAAACTAGAGTTGTTATAGAACTACAGATACACACACTTTTTAAAGAATTCTATTAAAATAAAGTCTTACCAAATGTGGGCTAGTAAGCCAGGAAGTAAACCTGTTTTCAGGAAGGTTTCACGGACCTCAATTCCAGATACATATCCATCCATATCCTTATCAATTTTTAGGAAGATTTCATCATATTTAGCCTTTTCTGAAGGGGTTACAACCCACTGGAGAGAGGAGAGAAGTTTCTGTCAAAATGAAACCAACTTTGAAATGATATTCTTTCGAATCATAAGAGTATCTGTCACCAATCTGAACAAATCTACTCAACTTTGATGTCAGTGCACTGATTACCACACACCACAACCAAACAGTATAAAGAGAATGCAACAAAATTACAAGTCAGTTAGGACCACATTTACAGGTATTAATTTAATATTTTTCTTTTAAGAAGCCAGTAAACTCAAGCACAATTAAGCCCTGGTCTATAAATTCCCATACTAACACCAGTATCTGGAAAAACCTGTAAAACAAATGATCTAGATAAGCCCCATGCTTCGTTTTCTATTGTTTCATGCAAAATTTTGCCCAGAGCTGAACTTGTACAGGTTGTCAATACGGTTGACATTACACAGCCTGACAAGAGATAGGTCAGAGGAAGTAAGAATCCATCAGAATTAGTAACGTGACCTGAAGAATAAGGAGTTACTATGGATTAAAAACAATTATATGACAGGAAAAGCATGCATGTTAGCACATAGTATCTTCTATTTCCATCTTTGATCTCTGATAGCTCGAGGCAAAAATCAGTTAAACATCCACAAGACCTAAGGAGCATCTGCCTCCTCTGGGACATCACATTATGCAGGTTCAACTAAAGGGAGTGTAGCAGCATTAACTGCTCCTTCTATCTTTATCAATCACATTCATGCACTTTGTTAAAGCAAAATCCTTTAACACTGATAAATTTCTACCTGTCTTAACGGTGCTTTGGTAGGTAAAATGCCTACAGGTGGTAAGGAGTGGTAAGATTCCTTGGCTGCTGAAGAGGGGATCAACCACATGGAGCCTGAAATACTGACCGTTTTTCTCTTAGAGGGTGGCACCAAGGCTGGAGGCAAGGACATTGGCACAGGTTCTTTCTCCAGTGCACAATATACCAAAAACATGGCCTTGAAGATAAACAAAACAGAGTCATGCATATATTTAAATTATCATAAAATCCACTCACTGAATTGCTCACTGTTCAACAACAAATCATTTTCAAGCAATCTCAAAAAAATTTGGGGGGGGGGAGGGAGTTGGTTTCTCTGTATAGCCCTGGCTATCCTGGAACTCACTCTGTAGATCAGGCTGGTCTGAAACTCAGATCCACCTGCCTCTGACTCTTCCTCCCAAATGCTGGATTAAAGGTATGAGCCATGGCTTTTCAAATCTTCTTTAAAAGTTAAGAGAGAAAAATAGAAAAAAAAAAAAGGAAGAAATGTAAGAAATAGTTACAAAAACTTAGAGGTACACTTTTCATTTGAAGTTCTTGTAACAGAAAAGAATGTAAGAATTTGAGTACAAAATGCTATCTATAAAGAAATAATCTTGATGTATAAAAATGCTCCTAGAAATTAATAATTTAAGTCCAATAAAAGATGGACAAAAACTATGAATAATTTCCAAAAAAAGTAGACACCACAAATGGCCTGTCCTTGAATATATAAAAACCATGCTCAATTTTACTCTTAAACTAAAACTACAGATTAAAATTATAGTGGGTTAACATTTTGCCTAAGAAGCAAGAATCCTAAGTTCCATAATGTACTTGGCAGCTAAACTGTGGGGAAAGAGCACTGTCAAACATTGCTAGTGGGCACCGAAGGGTAACAGATGCCACTTTTGCAGGATTATTTGGGGCAGAGGTCAACTAGGCAACAGGCAGTTAACTTTGCCTTAAACCACGCTCTGCCTCAGTTCTCAAGAGCTGGGCTACAGGCATGAGCCACAGCCCTCACCCCACTTTTCACAGCTTGGTGATGGTATATCAGAGGCACTTATATAGGAGGTACTACTGCTAGGCTTTATTTACTGTTAGCTACTCTTCTATCCACCTTCCCAAACATTTGTGGCCTCTAGTGACTGAAGGGCCTTTTTCTTTATCTTGTCACTTACCTAAACTCTATGTATACTGAAGACACTGTAATAGTCTGAGCTCTAAGCCACTTCTTGGAGAATTTTTCTTTTCCTAAATTGTCTCCCAGGTATACATGAATTATACATATTAACTAATTTATTTTTCTTTTGGGAACATGTCATTTGTTATATGAATCCTGGTCAAGAACTTAAAAAGGCTAGAGGCAAACTGGTCACCAAATTACAAATGTACTCTTCCCTTTGGCTCAGTCATCTAACATCTGGGAACCTATCCTTACATTTATTTGCCTACTTATGAATTGCTGTATGAAAAATATTATTAACCACAGAAGCTGTCTGCATCAGCACCCAACTGTCCATCAATAAAAGATTAACTTAAAAATTATGGTATACCTATATCATGAAAAACTATGAAGCAATAAAAGAATCATGGGAAAGCACTTTGGTATTGCCTTCACAAATATGTTAATTTCCAGAATGACCCAATTAGACACTTAAATTGGAAGCAATATATTGTATGTAGCTTCCAAAAGACTATACCAGGATAAAAAAAAAATCACAAACTATTCTATGAGAAAGTAAGCCCAAGATTCTAAAGCACACTGATAAATATGAAAAAATATCGGGGCAGTGGTGGAGCACAACTTTAATCCCAGCACTCAGGAGGCAGAGACAGGTGGATCTGTGTGAGTTTGAGGCCAGCCTGGTCTACAGAGCAAGTTCCAGGACAGACTACAAAGCTACAAAGAAATTGTCTCAAACAAAACAAACAAAAAAAGCAAGCCCCTCAGATTGATCTGATGTCCACTGAAAGTTAATGTTGCTTAAAACACAAAGAGAAAACTACCCTCAAAGAAAGTCAGTAGGTGATAGTAATCCCAACTAAATCCTTTCTGTGTAAAGTGTAGGTCTATTTGTGATGTTTTTTTTTAAAGAAGGTATCCTAAAAGCTTTTGAGTTTAGTGTCTCTCTATGTAACTATATTCATATTCAACTATTGTATACCAACTTGAAAACTAGCATTTCTCTTCCCTGCATACACACATGCACTCACACGGGCAGGTGGGGCTGGGGGGGCACCATTCGATCTGGTTGCTGTTTTTGTTTCAGTTGTAGATTTTTCATAGGATACAGTACAGTAGAAGATGAAAACAAGATCATAGTTCAGCAGCACTAAAATTACTCTGCTCACCTTTAATATTTATTTAGTGAACAAAATTTTGGCATTAGTTTTCTTGGGGAAACTATTTCCAAGACACATGGAATTAATAACTTTAGCTTTCAGAAAAAAATGTATTGTCTATTGGCAGATGTCAAGCATTGCTTTTGTTGTTGTTTAGTGTCCAATTTTCCAGGAAATGACTTCCATCTGCAGCAAGAAAATGCTGATCTTTATATGCATATAAGTCACTAGTTACATGCAAAGTGCCAATCAGATACTGCATGCATTGTGAACTTGGCTGAAGAGATGTGCTAGGCAGATTTTTTTCTTTCTGGAGCTTCAAGTTTTTAGAGGCATAGTGTTCATGTGTTTTCAAACTGGCATTGAATTCTTGCTGGTTGGCTAGTGTGTGGAAAAGGTTTGTTTTGGGTCAACAGGTTAAGTGCCATCCCTGGATACACAGCATCAGAGTTACCCGGGAACTTGTTAAAAATGTAGTTTCTTTGGCCCAGTACCAGCTTTACTGATTCCAGAATTCTGATTATAGAGCTACTCAACTGTCCAGGTAACTCTGATACCTGTTATAATCTGGACCAACCGGTGAGGTTTAGCTTTTCTAATTATAAAGGAAATTGTGGTAGTGTGACTTATTACACAGGTGCTGTGCTGTTAATGCTGATTAAATCTCGATCAATCAAGAATGCTGTAGCTAGGCTGGCCTAAATCTCACAGAGATCCACCTACCTCTGCCTCCCAAGTACTGGGGTTAAGCAGCACCACTGCGGTCTCTGGAGGGGCAGGTTTAAAATACAGATTCTGACCAACTCTGACATAGATGATCTGCAGGGGCAAGGCTTGCAGTTTTTTTCAAGGGTTCTCAGGTATCACTAATAGGCAACTATACTTTTAGGAATTTCCTTAAGAGTTCTACGTGCTTACTGATGATCTATTAATTCAAGCAGGTGGCAACCAACAGCTGCTACAAGGGATTTAAAAACACTTTGTGTTTTCCAAGTAAAACAAGTTTCCTTCACCACTTTAGTTTAATAAAACATTTATAGAAAGATGTCTGACCACCATGTTAGAAACAGAAAGAGGACAAAAAAATCCTTCACTTTCATAACACAAGAGAAGCAACACGAGTAAAAAGTTAATTTCAGGGTTTGAGGTACAGCTCAGTATCAGAGTGCTTGCTTGGCATTTGCAAGAACCTGTATTCAATCCTAAGAACCACACGAAAGAAAGAAAGAAAGAAAGAAAGAAAGAAAGAAAGAAAGAAAGAAAGAGAGAGAGAGAGAGAGAGAGAGAGAGAGAGAGAGAGAGAGAGAGAGAGAGAAAGAAAGAAAGAAAGAAAGAAAGAAAGAAAGAAAGAAAGAAAGAAAGAAAGAAAGAGAAATTTGAATAACGTGTGTGTGATGAGCTGGGTGGTGATGGCAGTGGCGCACGCCTTTAATCCCAGCACCCGGGAGGCAGATGCAGGCGGATCTCTGTGAGTTCGAGGCCAGCCTGGTCTACAGAGTGAGTTCCAGGACAGCCAGAGCTATTAGAGAAATCCAGTCTCAAAAAAACTATTTGATGCATGCTACAAGTATTAGCTCCCTCTTAGCTCTCCAAGTGCCACACGTTCCTCATAAAGTAAGGATCCAATAAATACTACTGACCGAAAAGATTAAGAATTGGAAAGAAGGGGGCTGGCTGAAGAGATAGCTCAGAGGTTAAGAGCACTGGCTGCTCTTCTGGAGGCCCTGAGTTCAATTCCCAGCAACCACATGGTGGCTCATAACCACCTGTAATGAGATCTGGTATCCTCTTCTGGTTTGCAGGGATATATGCAGGCAGAACACTGTATACATAATAAATAGATACTTAAAAAAAATAAAGAATTGGAAAGAAGAAAAATTTATAGATACAAAAAGACATCTACGTTAAAAAATAAAGGGGAGGGGTCATTATCTTCATTTTACGGGAAAAATAGAGGGAAAATCACAAGTTACTTTTCTGGGAAGAAATCTTGCAAATGTTACCTTAAGCAATTTCCATGATAGTATATCTAGATTTGTCTAGAAACAAAATGTATTTTGTTTCTAGACAAATCTAAATTGGAAGATATTCTACAAGCTATCAGACCAGTACTCCTTTAAAAAAGGTCAAGGTCATAAAAATAAGACAAGAATGGCAAACTACCAAAGACTCAAGAGACTGAAAAGACACGGCAACTAAATGCAGTGTAATACTATAGAGCAGACCTTTGCCCAGGAAGTGTTATGAGGTTAAAAAAAAAATCAAAAGAAAGCATACAGTTTTAAGGCAATTTACCAATGTAGGTTACTAAATTTTTACAAAGGTCATTCTTGGATACACAACGATGTGAATGCACCTGACTGGGCTAATCAGGCTGTTACTCAAACTCAATGGAAAAGGGCCCAGGGCAGTGAGATGACTCAAATAGTCAAGGTGCCTTTTTTGCAAGTATGTCAATCTGAGACTGCTCCCAGGTAAAGGTAGAAAAAGAACAGATTTTCATGCCATGTGACCTGTGCCCACATACACCAGTAAGTTTTAGACAAAAATTTTGAAACTGGGAATAAATCAAGATTAAAACTGAATTGGATGGAAATTAAAATGTGAAACAAAAGAATAAATAATTCTAAAGGATGGGTGTTTTGAAATATCACTGACCTAATGATAGATTGAACCAAAGAAATAAAAAGGACTATGAGCATAAATATGAAAGATTGAAGATGAGAAAAGACCACCTCAGGCATAAAAAGATTTTTAAAAATACAAGTTAATGGGGAAAAGTTTAAAAGTAAAGAAAATTAAAAAAAAAAAACAAAATAAAACAAAAAAAAACAACTGACCTGGAGAAATGGTTCAGCAACCAAGAGACTGTATTACCCCAGAGGACCTGACTTCAGTTCATGGCACCCATGTCAAGTGGCTCACAACTAACTATAACTCAAACTCCAAGGAGATCTGACAACCTCTGGCTGTCTTCGTGTATACACACACAGACACACACACACACACACACACACACACACACACACACACACACAATTCTTTAGGAAAACAGAGGTAGAAAATTTAAGCTGGTACACAGGAGATCACCAACTTATTGCAGAAGGTTACGTGTCTGTGTATGGACAGGTGTGCTTGGGCGTGTACAGTCAGAGAGCAATCTTGGGGTCTTCCTCATTTACTCTACATCTTATTTTTTGAGCCACGGTCTCTCACTGAACCCAGACACTTGCAGACTCAGGAGCATCCCGTCTCTGCCTCGGCAGCACTCACAGCCACACCTTTATTTTTTTCTCTTTAACGTAGGTTCTAGAGATTGAACTAAGGTGCCATGAGTTCATGAGCTAGAATGCAACAACTGAACCACTTCACCTGCCCCTATTAAAGTTTCATATCTTTAAAATAAGGAAAGATGCCAAATGCCTCATCAGTTAAAATGAAACCAAAGTGTTGTTCATGTTTCCTTTTAATGAAATAGTGTGAAGATTAGGAGATATAGTTGAAGCAAGACTGAAGTAATTTAAGACCCCCCAAAATTACCACACCATTATCTTTACAATATATTAACCAAGTATCTCTCCTAAGTACCTGAAGTGAGAAAAAAAAAAAGACTGCAAAACATACACTAATTCTCCTTCTCATTAAAAATATGCACTCACATATAAATCCTAAAAAGGTTAATAACTTCAATCTGACGGGCATATACTACGGATAAACTGAAATGGAAATGCTTCCCAGGGCAGGAGGCTCAGAAGGTCAAGCCCTGTTTTAATCAAATGGTGGAGGTATACATGGGTGGGGGAAGTTGTCACATTGTCAAATTAAGATATTTCACATTTTAAGAATATCTGGTTACTTACAACTGCAAATTCATCTCTGTCAAGCTTTCCATCATGGTCAATATCACTCAACTCCCAAACCTTTAAAAAGAGAAGTGAGAACAATTAATGCTCTTTTATTTTATGTTCTATTTAGGAACAGGAAGAGAAAGTATACTAGTGGAATATGAAAATGCCTGGTTGGTAAGTGCCTTAAAAGGAATCTGGACTTTGTCTTAATTGCAATGAGAAGTTACTAGAAGATTAGTTTAAAGCAATAAAATAAGAATATTCAAAGTTTAGGAATCTCACACTGACCGCACACTAGAGAAAAGGATGGAAATAATACTAGAAAATAGCTTTTAAAAATCAGTATTTGCAAGGCATGGTGGATCTGAGTTCAAAGTTAGCCTGGTCTGAGAACAAAGAGAGTTCCAGGACAGCCTGCGCTACACAAAGAAACCCAAGGGGGGGGGAGGGGAAGAGAAGGAGGGGGGGAAAGATGGAGAGACAGACAGACAGACACACAGAGAGAGACAAGAGAGTGATCTAATAACTCAGGGGCAATAGCACAAGTATTTCTATCAATGTGATGGTAGTCACCACCATTGCCACCATAGATCTAACACTCTATGAGTTTGTAACATGTACTATATTAAGTACATATACTACTATCACATTTAATCCTTGGAACCCTATCAACTGAAAATTATACACAATTTAAAGATCTGAAAACCAACACACAGTTTTTCTAAGGAATTTCCCAAAGTCACTTAAATAAACAGGGCAGCCAGGATTTGATGCTCTGTAACCCAGCTGCGTACACAAGAGCTGGGGGTTTAAGTGGTTATGGTTTAAAACATGAAAGAAGAAAGGAGAGAAATCACTTTAGAAACAGCACAAAAGTGGCAAGGAGTAGGGAGAAACCCAGACAAAATTAGTGATTATTAATTTATTTTAGCATTTCTCAAAAGCCAGTATGCAACAAAAGAAAAGGTAAATAATGAGCATATGCAAAATTGAGTTTTCAGTAATATCAAAGTCAAAAAACTGAAGTCTTAAAAATATTTAGGAAAAAAAGGTCTATATAGGAAAGCAGGAAATTCAAGTTTAGAATCTATGATTTCATAAGCTAAGATATTTAAGAATCATGTAGAAAAAGACCTAAGAACAAACATAGGAATGAGCACATACAAATTAAAGAAAAAAATTTCTGAAGACACAAAGACATAGGTTTAATCTTACCAGTTGAAAAACCATGGAGTGATGGTAATGGTGGCTGTACAGCAATGTCACTATGCTTTGAGAGGACCAGGCCAGGCCTCACTAGGGTCTCATTCTAGCCTTCAGACAAATGGTCCCAGAAAAAGCAATGAACAAAGGACAATTTCCCTTCAGCAACCCTGATAGTAAGGTTACCAGAGAATCTGCACATACTGGACTCAGGCCAGCCCCATAGTATCTCAAGGTAATGACCAAATAAGGTCAGGATCTGGGACTTGTCCAGCCTGACCAAAAAAATAAGAGAATGATAGCTCTCACCAGCCCCGTAACTAACCCTAGCCAGTTAGAACATACTAATATAATTGCCATTTGTTTAAGCCAATTATAGTTAAAATGACCTAACTTCCTTAGGCACCCTCCTTAGTAAGGCTTAAAAGAAGCCTCCATCTCCTTCTTGAGGGGTGGAGGAGTCTTTTTCATCATCTTGTTTTTATGTGTGGCAATACCCCAGCATGCTGGAATAATAAAATTCTCTTGCTGATTGCATATGAGGATGGTGATTTTTGTGGGATTTCTCCAGGACTTTAACACCTAAACATTACTAAGCTGAACATATAACACGTGAACTACACGGGCAGAGAAGGTAACTCAATTAATAATAAAGTACTTTCCATGCAAGCATGAGGGCCTGGGTTCAATCCCCAGACCTGTATAAAAAGCGTCAGAGCTGGAGGGATGGCTCAGCAGTTAAATGTACTTGATGCTCTTGCAAAGCACCCAGTTTCAGTTCCCAATATCCACATGGAGGCTCACAAAAATCTTTATGCCAGTTCCAGGGTATGCAGTGGCCTCTTCTAACCTTTATGAGCACCAGGCGCACACACACAGTGTACATACATACATTCAGGCAAAACAGTCATAAACATAAATCTTAAACAACAACAACAAAAGTTAGGTGTCTAGGTGTAAGGTAGTGCAGGCCAGTAACCCCAGTCCTGGAGCAGCAGAGCTCCAGGATAACGCAACAACATGCCTCAAAAACAAAACAAAACAAAAAATAAGGTAAGAAAACACAACAACAGTTTCTGAAAAGCAACACCTGAGGCTTCCACATGTGCACACACAGAGAAAAAAACAAAAACAAACAAAATCCAAAAAAGAAGGGGCTAGCTTGACAGTTCAGCAGGTAAAGGTGCTTACTGCCAAATCTAACAACCAAGTACTAACCCCAGGACTCACATAATGATGGAAGGAGAAAACCGAGTCCCTCAAGTTGTCCCCTAATCTTCACACTGGCATACTGTGGCGCACACACACACACACACACACACACACACACACACACACACACACACACACACACACACAAATTAATTAATTCATTAAAAAGACTGAGGGGAAGTGAAGAAGCCTGAGTTCAAAGAATTAAAGTCTAACAAACATCTAGGGAAAAGACTAAGAAATCCAGTCAGAGAGCAAAATTTATGATTTCACACTCCTTTAAAACAAGACCCTACAATACATAGGATAAGGTCTGGGACTGAGCTCAGCAGTTAAGAGTATTTGCTGCCCTCCCAGCTCCCACATGGCAGCTCACAACTGCTTGTAACTCCAAGTCCAAGGGACCCCAGATCTTCTGTACTCTATGGGCACCTGTACTTGTATGTGTATACTCCACACACATGTACACATAATTAAAAACAAAAATAAATCTTAAAAAAATACAGATAGTCCCTAAAATTCTGTCAAACAACTAAATTATTCAAGTATACATGCAAAAAAACCCAGATCTGCTCAATAGACTTACATATGTAACTAATACTAACTACTCATATTTTCTAGGAAATAACTAAAACCAGAAACACAATGACAATAATTTACATGTTACAAATACAGAAAATCCTGTACTAACACAACTTTAACAGGACCTGTCTATATTCTAAACAATGAGCTCCTGGTAAGTATAAAATTAAAATATATCATAACTTCATCTAGCACAATACTGCAATCCCATCACTCATGAGGCTCAGGCAAGAGGTCCTTGAGTTCCAGACCAGCATGAGCTACACATTAAGACCATCTCAATCCAGTCTCAAAACACCAGGAACAAAAGGGGAAAAAGACCATCTCAAAGCAAAGAAACGAACACACACATTACATGTAAAGCTTGCTCTTACTCTTCCGAGGGTCTCCACAGGTAACTTAGAGTTGAGTAACACTGGTTTCACTTTATCACCAGACAGAAACCCATCCACTGGGCTTAAACTATCAAAAATGGCATCATATTTGGCTTTGTCTTCAGACTGCAATACAAAAAGAAAGATGGCAAGTTAAACAATCACAAAAAGGATTTAACTGCACATATAAGAATCAAATCCTCAAATAACTGACCACAAATTTTTAAGGTAACATTTTAAAACACATTTAATCAAAGTACATTAAATAATTTCAAAGTTGGAAGACTAGTTAGAACACTATCTTTGCTTTTCTACTGTCAGATTAGACTCAGAAAATTTCAGAGATAGAATGCTTTGAGGAATGCCTACCCACTCACCCTGACCTACAACAAGAAAGTAACTTTTCTAAGAAGACACTGGCAATGACATTCTGTCTTAGAATTCAAAGAAATAAAATGTTTTTTAAAAGTATCACAAAATGACTAACAGACTAAGACTAAGGCATTTCTCAAAATTTTCTATTTCAATATTTTTCCTACACTCCTTGAACATGTATATGAAAAGTTCAATGCAGAACAATATATTTTGAGGATAGGGAGAAAGGTATTTATAAGTACGAAGCAAAAGAGATGCAAGAAACTTGTTTACCTTTACAGCCCAAGGGAGCTCGGTGGCTGAAGTTCCACTGGTTAGCAAAGGACTACTGGAGTCATGCTAGGAAATAAAGAGAACAATGAACTGTCTAAGTCCTCATACCAGTAATCAAAGAAGAAAATTTGTGGTTTTTGCATTTAAGTGTATTTGTGCAAAATACTGGATATCAACACTATTTTACTTTAATTAGACCTTCAATCTATTGTCCACTGAAATAAAAACTTTTTCCCAGTACAATTTAAGGAAAGCAGACCAGAAAAACAAACTTATTTAGCACTTGTAGGTTACCTGTACTTGATATCTAATGGCAGCACATTCAAGTTATTACTTTTATCTGGTTTAAGAGACAAGTAAATACATTGGAAAAATCTCTATATTATACCTAGGCAACAAATACCTATGACAATCCTTGTAGGTCATATCTAAACAGAGAAATCCAGACATTCTCAAAACTGAACTTAATTTTTTTTTTTACTTTATTTTAATGTATACGGGTATTTTGGCTGAATGTAGTCTGTGTACCATATACATGCCTGGTTCCTGGGCAAACCAGAAAAGTGTGTTGGATCCCCAGTAACTTGAGTTAGAGACAATTGTAAGCCACCATATGGGTGCTGGTATTAGAGCCAGGGTCCTCTGGATGAGAAGCCAGTGCCCTTAACTGCTAAACCCTAGCGTGTGCCACCACCGCCCGGCCAGCAGCACCAAAATTAAAGTTAAAATTAAAACAACAGCCGGGCGTTGGTGGCGCACGCCTTTAATCCCAGCACTCGGGAGGCAGAGACAGGCGGATCTCTGTGAGTTCGAGGCCAGCCTGGTCTACAGAGCAAGTTCTAGGACAGCCTCCAAAGCCACAGAGAAACCCTGTCTCGAAAAAAAAAAAAAGAAAAAGAAAAAAAAATTAAAACAACAGTCATTAAATTTCTGAGAACATTGGGGGTGGGGTTGATAAGATACACATACCATATATACAGACATTTCCCAAACAATGATAATCAAAACACTGTAAAATTGGCACACAGATAAACAGATCAATGAATAAGAAAAAGAAAATCCAGAAAGACAGCAAAATGCATATAGCAATTTAGGTCATTGCTGAGGTGGCATTTGAATTTGATATGTAAAAGAATAATCATTCAATACACTGTATTAGTTCTATATGGTAGCTATCATGAAAGAATGAATTTGAATCCACACTCACACTTCCACCAGGAATAACAAATATTGAAAAAGAAAATATGTTTTAGTTTTGCAATTTGTTTACATAAAATAATTTCATCATGGGGTAAAACATAACGTAGTAAAAGACAAATGACAAATTGTAAGACTATATTTGCAAATGATATGGGTGCAGAGTTAACTTGCTACTTTTTAAAGAACCTCTAGAATTCAGAAAGAAAAATAATCAAGAAAAATAGTCACAGTCTAGAATTAGACATTCCCATGGCAGAATAAAAACCATTCAGTGTCTTAAAAAGTAGTCAATCTCTCCTATAAGCTAAGCACAAGTCTATACACTGACATGCCACTTGCCACCAAGTTGGCATGGATCTATGCTCTGACAACACCATGAGAGCAAAAGCACAAGGAAATTGACATGCCAGCCAATTGCTGGTAAAAGTGAAATCATACGTGCAAAAACCCTTAAAGACAACTTCACTTTTGACAGTTTACAATTACATTTATGCATATTGAAAATGACAAAATAACTAATTGTTGCATCATTTTTCCTTAAAATTTTGTTGACTGGAATTTATATAAACATAAAGAAATACTATGCAAACACTTAAGTTTGTTACATCTCTAAAAAGGGTATGGAGTCAAATATATAGAATTACCATTAAAAAATTAATGAATGCGTATTTATATTTTATATGCACATATAACTCTGAAGGACATATATAAAACTAGTAATAGCAGTAGTTATTAAGAAGGAAAACCAGGTAGCTAAGTGATAGGGAAAAGGAGAAAAATCAAGTATATTACTTTTTATTTCAAATCATGTGATATAAATTTTTTGGTAAGTATGAATGTAGTATGCATTTGTGTATGCCTCTGTAGGTAGGACCTCTCACTTGACTCAGAGCTCACTGATTCCACTAGTTTAGCTAGCCAGCTATGCTCTGAGGAATCCCTCCTCACTTTCTGAATTCTGGAATTACAGGTGAGTCACTATGTCTATCCAGCCTTTTCTATGGGTACTAATGATCTGAACTCTAGTCCTCATGCTTGCAGGGGCAAGCACTTTATCCAATGAATCATCTCCCCAGCCCTAATCTTTCTAATTAAATAAATTTACACGTAAAATAATTTCTTACAAATCTTGGTGGGGGAACAGCCAGGTTCAAGCTATTCAGTGAAACTTCCAGTCCATTCTGGGCACATGCCACAAGCCGCAAAGCAACAAAGAATTCCTGACAAAGAAAAGCATAAACATTAGGATATTTTCTCTGAATCTACCTTCTTTCAAAACCTACTTTATGATCTGAAAATATACAATAATGTACCATTATTCCACAGTATTATGTAGCATTATTTTATATTTTCAGATCATAAAGTAGGTTTTGAAAGATCCATTTCCACACTGTGAATGAGCTCTGAAGTGAAATTATTCTTCATTAAATTCTAGCTTTGTTGCTTAAAACTGCAATGCCATGGGAAATTTAAATAAAATTCTTCTCTAAAAGGAGGACAGTCTAATACTATCTATCTTGAAATGTATTAGGAGCAATGAAGTAAAACTATTCTGTAGGGTAGAAAGCACCAAGTGTCATTTTTGTCATACAAATTCTCAGTACTGGTTCCTTTTCTTTCTTTCAAAAGTTAATCCTGACAGTATTATCTTTGGGCTGGGGAGACGGCTCAGTGGATAAAGTGCTTGCTATGCAAGAGTGAGAACTGAAGTTCAGATCCTCAGACACACATAAAGCTGGATGTAGCAGTACACATTTGTGATCCTAGCAAGCTACAGCTAGACGAGGGGTGGAGAAGGGGGTCCACAGATGCTCATGGGCTAGTTAGCCTGGCATATGTAGCTGAAAAACTACAAAGAAATCCCACCTCAATCAAGGCGGAAAATGAAGGTTGACACCCTCTGTCCTCTAATCTCCACATGTACAACAGGGCACATACACATGAACATGTACACATATTAAACACACATATTTTCTATAGTCTGGATCATAAATATACCCCAAAACACACACCACATTCATATGCTAAAGATATAGTACTCGATGGTGCTACCAGGAGGTGAAGAAACTTTAAGAGACAAGGCCTATGTAGGTCATTCAACCCTTGAAGGAGATACTGGGACCCCAGGCCCTTCTCCTTGTTTTTCTGTCTCAGCAGCAGGGAGGCAAGCAAGCCTTCATCCACCATTCCTTACTCCTTTGATATTCCACTTCATCCCAGATTCAGAAACAATGCAGCCAAATGACTGTGGGATAAAATTTCTGTAACCATGAGTCAACACAAATATTTCTTCAAAAAGTCTAAACAAAACACTGTGCCTTCAATGTAAACTCAAACTTCAATGGCAGACACATCTATCTAGCAACCTGGATGTATCAAGGACAACTCAAACTCATCTAATGTCCCAGGCTACCAGTGAGAGGAAGTTATTATATTACAAATTCATTCACCTCTGTACTTCTAAAGGCTGGCTCTTAAACACTTGTTGATTCAGTGGACCATACCATGTCTTCAGTGTCTTGAGCAGGCCCTTCTACCCAGAACCTCAAATGAGGACTACTACAATCTAGTCCTGAAATCCTAATTAAGAAACTGGGTATTCTTGAGGCTAGAGATGACTCAGCCATTAATAGAACTGGCTGCTCTTCAGAGTGCATGGGTTAAATTCTTAGCACCCACATAGCAATTTACAACTGCCTGTAATGCCAGTTCCAGGGGATCCAAAGCCCTCTACTGACCCCTATAGGCACCAGGCACACATATGGTACACAAATATGCACATACATGCAGGCAAAACACCCATACAGATAATTTTCCTATAAAAAAGGCTGGGTATTTTGACTCGATTATTAATTATTATTCTCATCCCCTTTCTGTTTTTGACGCTATGCTCATAGGGGAAATGAGCTTTACAGAGTGGTACTAAGTAAGAGTATCGGGATATGGCAAACTTCCAATGAACCAAACATTAAAGTATATACATGGTATTCAACACCTTTGGCTATAACCACTTCCACATATTTATATATTAGAGTGTACTTCCATCCTGTCTACCACTTTTTGGTTGACACGTAAGATATAAAACACAAGAATTCAGGTTTGATTAGCCCAAAGACTCCTTTCAAAAGTCTGGGCTTATCTAGAGTAGCACTTACTAATAAAACCAATGTTTACTTATAATCTTGTATATTCAAGAAACTTAATTACTAAGATACAAACAACAACTGTAGGAGATGTATGTATTATATAAAAGCTTCAGTAAAACAATGTCACCAAATTTTAGCATTCGGATAGCTAAATGTTCAGTAGTTAAAAATGGGTACATGGTATTGAACTTTGAGATAAAAAAAAAATCTGCTACTTTTTATTTCAAATCTCTCAATCTTACTTGTTTATTCAGGACACCTTTGCCATCTGTGTCAGCTAAATCCCAAATCTGAAATTTAAGAGGAAAAAAGAATCAATCTCTTTATATATATTTTAACAAAAATTATTTAAAAGATAAATTAAATCCCTCTAATTTATAACCTCATGATCTGTATAAACAGGTCTAAGACTCATTAGAAATTATTCAGTACAACTCTTTCACAAAGACATGAAGGCCCAAGTTAGTAGATCTGGCGTAAGAACATTAAAGGAATGAGGGAAAAATTAAATCCAAGTTCCAGTTGCTAGTCAAATGCCCTTTTCACTAACCCTGAGTTTAACTGAGAGTCAAATGCTGTCTATTGAAACATACTACCCTGATTTTGATTCTAATATTACGATGAATTTTTCCTATGGTTAATGTTTATCAATTAATTATGAAACTATAATATCGTCTTTAGGATTTTTACTATGTATCAGTATCATGCATAACCACTTGGCGAGGGAGTGCTTCCCATCTCTGTTCTTTCTAGCCCCTCACTGTGCTCTATACATTAAACAGAGGCAGCTTTATTGAGGAAAACAAGGATAGGACCAACTGTTTGAGGAAGTAGCAAGACTCCTTCTTTGTACTGTTTCTCCCCACAATACTCAAATGTATTGTTACTTTCTCATTTCATCCTAGTCAAAAGTGCTGTTTCTGAAATGCTCAACATCACCTTAATTTTATTTTCTTAACTTTCTTTTTTATTTATTCTTTGTGCCTTTCACATCATGCATTTCAATCCCATTCATTTCCCTATCCCTCTGCCCTTGCCATGCCCTCCCCCAATAAAATTTAAGAAGAAGAAGAAAAAAAGAGCAATCGATCTCATCATGGAAACTGTAGTGTGGTATAGTGAGTCACAGAGTAAACTCTTTAGTCCATATATCTTTACTTGACAAGTGTTCATTACAAAGTGTCATTGGTCTGGCTCGAGGCCTCTGGTTCCTGCTATACTGTCAATACTGTGTCCTCTCTGGAACTCCTCTTGGTTATCCTCTTGTTGCCCTGTGTTGAGGAAATCCTGCAGCTTTGGGTTCCCTTTAAATGCTCCAACAGACCACAGATGGGGTAAATGTCAAAGTGGGCCAACTTATAACCCTGGGCCTGGGTAGTTGCAGGGTTGGTCAGCCCACCAGCTCTCTTTTGTCCTCACCACCAGGGTGAGCTCTGCTACATTTCCCTGGCTAGTTCACCCCTTGCAGCAGTGAGCACGGGGTGGGGCCAGTTCTCTAGCCTTCACATCCTCAAGGTTGGGTCTCCCACACCTACACCTTCAGGGCCAGCTCTACTGTGTTGCCCAGGTGTGGTGTAGGGGTCACTCTCCGGAGTGCTGCAACTGATGAGGGGCTGAGATAGCTCTCTCCCTCTCTCTTCTGACCTCAGGGCCATCTCTCCTATCTGCCTCAGGTACTGATGGGTGGAGGGTGAGGGGTAGAGGAGGACATCTTTACCCTATCCATGCTGTCACATGACAGATGAGTAATGGGGACAACTCCCATGCTCACAACTTCTGGGCTGGCTCACCCACACCTCTGCCAATGGGTTTGGTTCTATTGTGCTGCCTGGGCAAAGGCGCAGGGCCTGCTCTCCTGAGTGTTGCAGCTGGCACCACTTAATTTTCAAAAAGATAAATCACTACATCACAACCCCCATCCCATTACTACAATTGCTCCTATGATTCAGTTCTAACTTGTATGTTTCTTGATTGCATCCTTCTGAATTTATTTGCAGTTCTGCTATGCTTCTCCATATTCATTATAATCTAGTTATAATAAGCACATCCTACCTTTCCGAGAATCAAGTCTGGAAGCCCTGATTTTTTCAGGAATGTAGCAGCATCTGAAGCCAACACCCTTCCAGTATTGCCTGTATCAACCTGAAAAGACAGAAACAGGAAGCTGACAACACAAAATCAAAATTATACCACTTCTTCATCTCTCCTTCCTAATTTATGAACTGGAACCAGAATCCTTCTGCTAAGAAGAGCAAGGCCTCTGCAGAGCCTTCTAAGACTGTTACCATCCACACAGGAGTCAACTGGCAAGATTTGTTTATCATGTCTATTATACAAGTAAAAAAGCAAGCTCAGGAATAGCAAGTGAGTAGAGTCAGAACATGAACACAGATCTTCTAACTCTGCATTTTTATGACTGTCATTTAAATGCCAATGTAAGAAAAAAGTATTTCCTCGAGGTCTTCTGACAGCTGGGATAGCCGAGTATGATCTGACTCTTCAAATAAGTTTTAGATTAACGTCTGCTTTTATATATACTCTTAGAATTTGTTAATACTTTAAATAAATCAAAGCAGCATCAGCTTTAAGTCATGATAAACTTTAAAAAATAAACTTTTGTTTCTATAGTACATCAAAGGGACTACATGATTTTGACTGATGGGGACTTATCCTTTAAAACAGAATGGGGTCACAACAAACAAGGAAGAAAATAAAGCTTGTTTTTGTAAAGACATCCTAAATTTCTATTTGTAAATATGAAAAGTAAATCTTAAAAAGTCATGGGAAAAGAAATATTATAGTAGGATATTCATGAACTAGCTGTGTTTCTAGTTTAGAGACTAAATTTACTGTAAATACATGAAGTAATCACACAGCCCAGTCCCAGAAAGAAGAAAAGAAAAACTTCTCAAAGGCAAGAACAGGCCAAATCAGGCACTCAGCAAAAAAGAAAGATTTGTCTAATCCTTCAATTTTGGGGGAAGAAGGAAGTATAGAAGTGTCAGGAAACATGCCTCTAGAATTCTCCAGAACTACTTTTCTTTACCCACTTCCTTACCATGGTAGGAAACCACGCATAACCTAAATATCAATGCACTCAAAGTAAACATAGATTAAATTCATTAAGTATTTACCTACTATATCCTAATATGGAATCTTATCTTCCATTCTTGCAGTCACAGTAACAAATTAAAACATCTATTTACATTTATCTTCAGGCAGTTTCTAACTCTGATTCCTGCAAAAATCTCCTCTATAAACTACAACCTGGAATTGATGTCTTCAACAGAATTCCATAGCCTCACAAAAGACTTTAAATTTCAACACTTATAAAACTACATACAGACTTCTGGGCTGAGAAGATAGCTCAGTGGAAGAGCACTTACTCAGCATGTATGAAGTCTCATGATCAATTCTCAGTACTGTAAAAGAAAAAGAATAATAAAAAGCAGACACAATGGTACATGGCTTTTTTTTTTTTTTATTTCGCTGGGCAGTGGTGGCGCATGCCTTTAATCCCAGCACTCAGGAGGCAGAGGCAGGCGGATCTCTGTGAGTTCGAGGCTGGGCTGGACCGACAGCCTCCAAAACAATACAGAGAAACCCTGTCTCATAAAAACCAAAAAAAAAAAAAAAAGATTTATTTATTGCATATATTGTAGATGGTTGTGAGCCACCATGTGGTTGCTGGGGATTGAACTCAGGACCTCTGGAAGAGCAGTCAGTGCTCTTAACCTCTGAGCCATCTCTCCAGCCCAGTCGGTACATGCCTTTTAAAAAAGGTGTATGTGTGTGATGTTTTGCCTGCAATAGGTCTGTGTACAATGTATGTGCTCAATGTCCAGAGGCCAAAAGAGGGTATTGGATCACCTAGAGCTGGAGTTACAGACGGTTTTCAACCACCACCTGGGTGCTAGAAATTAAACCCAGGTCTAATTTCTAGAAAGAGCAGCCTGTATTCTTAACCACTGAGCCATCTCCAGTCCCAGTACATGACTTTAATCCCAGCACTTGGGAGCAAGCAAGAGAACTGGGAATTCAAGACACAACCCCATCACACAGCAAGTTTCAAGGCCAGTCTGGGCTGCATAAAATCCTGTCTCAATAGCTGGACACAGTGGTTGTGCATGTCTTTGATCCCAGCACTACAAACACAGAGCAAAGGCAGACAGATCTCTTGAGTTCAAGGCCAGCTTGATTTATAGACTGGGTTCCACAACAGTCAGCCAGGGCTACACAGAGAAATCCTTTGGGGGGGGGGATGAGGGGAGGGGAGGAGAAGAGGGGAAAAGAAGGGAAGAGGAAAAGAAATGGAGGGGGAGGGAGGGGAGGGGAGAAAAAGACAGATCCCATCTAAAAGGGGGAGAAAAAGACTTCTGGGTAACTAACATTACTTGAAGAACATTTACACTAGACTAGTAAACTAAATGACGCTTCCAGACTCCTCTCAGCCTGGAAACTGATCTTCTACACCAAAACGAACTCCTGACACAAGATTAGCAGAAAAAGATCACAAAAGACTGAAAAACTGTTCAACTACCTGACTCAAGTGATTCTCCTGCCTCACATTATTTTTTCTTTCTTTTCTGTTGTTTTGGGGGTTAGTTAGTAGGGGTTTCTCTTTAAATTAAAAAAAAATTAAAATGGCATCTGTTGTGTGTGTGATGGGGGCAGGGGCATGGCGTGTGTGTAGAGGTCAGAGGACAACTTTTGAGATATGTTTTTTCCTCCCACCTTTAATTTTGGTAATTGAACTCAGGTTATAAGTATCTTTTTACCTGTACAGTCATCTCCCCTATACTTCCTTTTCTTTTTTTTTTTTCTTTTTTTTTTTTTTTTCTTTTTGCTTCAAGAGTCAAGGCCTCATGTAGCCCAGACTGGCCTTAAACTCCTGACTCCTCTTCCCAAATGCTGGGATCACAGTTTCACAACCATGCCCAACTCTTTTTTTACAGACAGTTTCTCACTGTGCAACCCACGCTAGCCTCAAATTCATGATTTTCCTGCCCCAGCATCCTGAGTTGTGAGATTACAGACATCGTATCCTATGTTTTAAATTCTATCCTTTTTATTGAGACAGTGTTTCATGGATATAGCCCAGTATGCATCAAACTCTAACGTAACTGAAGATGACCCTGAATGATCCTCCTGCCTAGTACAACCTCCCAAGTTCCAGGATCACAGGTGTGTATTATTACAACTGCCCAGGGAACCTTAAGGATGTCTTTTACTCACCCTCACCACACATCCCAGTACTTGGGACAGAACCCAGGGCTTTGTGCATGTTAAACAAGCAGTCTACCAGTAAGGTGCACCCCCAGTTCCAAATGTGAAGAAAAAAATTCCTTTTTGTTCTTAGGCTAGCTCAATACTGAATTAGTAGATCCCACTATTGCAACCTGAATAAAAAACTTTCCAACAGGATCTGATTTCTTTGATCCATCAAAAACCAAAACAGTATCTTTTACTGAAAGACTACTTTTTATGACAATCACAAAAAAAATTCAACAATTTCTTTGGCTTTTTAAAAGGATGTAATTAAATTAATCAAGTATACAACACGAGGCCATATTTAAGAACAATTCTCTTTTACTCTGATAGAACAAGCTATCTGGGTGGGGGAAAAGAGAGAGATGGATCTATCAGTAAAGCACTTATCTTACAAGTATTAGGACTTGAATTTGGACACCTCCGAATCCCAGTTTAGATGCTCTGAATGCTTTAAAGCATGAGGACTTGAGATTGGATCCCCAGAACTCAAGTAAAGGACTGGATAAGGTGAGTAACCTACAATTTCCAGCAATGGTGAAATGAGTCAGAAACAGATAGATCCCAGGAGCTCAATAGCCAGCTAGCTTAAGACTACTTAGCCAAAGACACGGGTGAGCAAGAGAGATCTTGTCTCAAACAAAAGGTAGACAATTTAACTTGCATATGTACATGCACAGGCACCCGTGCACATGCACACACAAACAAAAATGGCCTAATAAAGTCCCACCATCACAGATGTAGGGGTGTGTGTGTGTGTGTGTGTGTGTGTGTGTGTGTGTGTGTGTGTGTGTGTGTGTGTGTGTTCTTTAGGCCAGAAGAACAAGTAAGAAAAGTTTAAAAGTTCAATCAAAAGCCAGGCATGAAGCTATGTACAGTGGTAAGCACCTGTAACCCTAGCATGGAGGTACAGGTAGGAGGATCAACATATCAAGGTCAGCTTCTGCTACACAGCAAATTTGGGGCCAGCTTAGGCTACAATTACACCTTGTCCCCACCCCATCCAAAAAAGATTATAGGCATGGTGGTACATGCCTGCAATGCCAGCACAGGGGAGGCTGAGGAAGGGGATTTAGAGTTTAAGGGAATTCTGGCTACATAGCAAGACCCTGTCTCTAAGACAAAACAAAAAATATAATCAAGACTGGCATGGTTACCCACAATAGTAGCCTCAGAACTTGAGAAGCAAAGGCAGAAGGATCAGAAGATCAAAGCTATTCACAACTACATTATGAGTTTGATTCTAGCCTGAGAGCTCATTTCAAAAAGACAAATTAAAAAACAAAACAAAGCATAAAACCAAACTGAGCATGGTGGCATACAACTGTAGCCCCAGCTACTTATGAGGGTGAGACAGGAGGATGGCTTGAGCCCTGAAGTCCAAGACCAGCTTGAGCAACATAGGTTCTTAAGAATCACACTCTTAAGAAGCATGGATACAACTTAATTTTAAAATATAATCAAACTCTACAAATTAAGAAGTAAAAGCTGCTAAATAGTATACAGTCCTAGACTTCCGAGTCAAAACCACAGGGATCTCTATATTAGCTAATTGGTATTTGCTAAAATAATGTAGACCAGCCTTTTCTACACTTATGCAAATTCTCTGTGAAAACAATCCAATACACAGAATTGTATTGTTCTGGGCATGGTGGCAAACACATATAATCCCAGTACTTGGAAGGCAGAGGCAGAAATGATTGGAAGTTCAAGGTCATAGTCTGCTACTTAGTGAGTTCAAAGCTAGCCTACAGTGCATGAAATTGTTTCAAGAAATAAATGAGCAACTGAAACCATGTAGAAAATCAGGACATTATCTGATCTAAAATATGTATTACTGATTAGCTTTTTAATAAGGCTTTTAAACTCTGTCAAATGAGAAGTTAAAGTATAGAATACTATTAGCAATGCAAATGATTCCTGTCCACACAGTGCAAATGAATTTTTTTCTGACTGAGTATGAATCACTACAATTCATATTCTCATTTTCATTTTCACAAAGCTCACACTGGCCTCAAACTCACTATGTAACACAGGGTGATCTTGAACTCTTGATCCTCTTGCTTCTTCCACTAAGTGGTAGGATTAACAAATATTATCACACCTGGTTTTTGTATTCTGATTTTATATCTGAATGTTTCCCTGACTAATTAACAAAATCCTTGATACATGTTTTGTTTGTTTGGTTTGTTTTTTGGTGCTAGGAATTAAACCTAGGGCCTTGTGTGTAATGAACATGTAATCTACCAAAGAGCTACACCCTCAGCCCCACACTCACTTATGTGTATGCAAGCCGTGTTTTCAATCTATAAAACTTGTATTTAGTATGTCTTTAAAGCAACCCAAGGCGCTAGGCAGTGGTGGCGCCCGCCTTTATTCCCAGCCTGGTCTACAGAGCGAGTTCCAAGACAGATTCCAAAGCTACAAAGAAACCCTAGCTTGGAAAATAAAACAAAACAAAGCAACCCAAGGCAGGTGTGATACACACCAAAATCTCAGCACTAGAAGCTGAAACAGGAGGACTCTGACACAACACAAAAATGGACTACATAGTGAATGCCAGGCCAGTCAGACATGAAATAAGAACCAAAACACCAAATAAATAAATAAACAAACAAATGACACATCAAAGTTATTTCTATTTGGCTTATACATTAATTTGGATTTTTATATCTGAATGAATATAATGTTCTACAGAGTTTTAATATATATTTAGGGTAATTAAATTCTCTTTCATTTTTCTGAGAGCTAATAACTAGTGTTTGGTGTGTGCCTGTAATCTCAGCACTCAGGAGATTGAGGTAGGATTATGCACTAAAAGGCCAGCAGAGACTACCTAGCAGGACCCTCTCAAAACAAAAGGAAAACATCAAGTACTCAAAGTTTAGGCTAAAGCCCAAAAAGTTGAATCAAGACACATCAAACTAATCTAGTAACTGCTCATCTACATGCATATAATCAACAATTGATAGCATATTTTACATTTGGTTCAGAATACAAATACAATAAAATCTTACCTGTCTATAGTATTTTTCATATACAGGATTCCCACTTGACAACTAAAAGAAACAATAAATAGCAATTATATTTTATTCAATTATTCCTTGTGATACATTTAGTATTCACTTAAAAGATACTTGAGAAACAAAGACAAAAGAGATTTAAAAAATTCTTCATTTGAGGAAGGAGAATGAATAAACACAGTCACAAGAATTAGAAAAAGTAAGGAAAATAAGAATCTAAGGTTTTCATGCATAATTCCACCCAGAAACCCAATCCATAACAGAAGTCAGTTTAAAGCTTTTTCAAAATGCTCATCCTTTACCCAAGTATCCACAGTATTTAAAAATCAATTCAAAATCTACTTCAATAAAGTAAACAATAAAGGAATAGTGATGCAGTGCAATAGGAAACCATTTGCCTAGTATGTAAAACGGCACAATTGTGATCATAGCACCACAACAAACAACCCTCGCTACACAAACTGGTGTAATGATGACGATCTGATGTCATCAGATTTGAATTGCTTATATGCAGGCAGTGACACTCATTTCACATCCAGTTCAAAGGGTTCCTTGTTCAACTGATGAACATAATAGCTCATCTGGAAGGCAGCTTAGGAATATCAGTGCTCAAAAGATCAGGTTTGCTAGTACAGGAATATGGAAAAATGTTCAAGACAAAGAAAGGCATCTAAGAAGACTTAAGGGATGCTAGGAAAACAGGAACTTAAAATTGTAGAAAGAAGAAAAGAGGGTGAATCTACTTAGAGATAACATGTTTGCATGCATTTAACAAAAATCAGCTACATCTGTACAAACTAGGAAGTATGGACATGGCAGCACATGCCCATGGGGGGGAAAGAGAGGGGGAGAGGGGGGGAGGAGGAACAAGAAATAACAATGTGCCGGGCGCGTTGGTGGTGCACACCTTTAATCTTAGGACTCGGGAGGCAGAGGCAGGAGGATCTCTGTGAGTTCAAGACCAGCCTGGTCTACAAGAGCTAGTTCCAGGACAGCCTCCAAAGCCACAGAGAAACCCTGTCTCGAAAAACCAAAAAAAAAAAAAAAAAAAAAGGAATAACAATGTAACATTGTTGGGGAACATTATTTAAAGTGTGTGATTTTTGTTTATGCTGTATTTGTTTAATTCTATGAAGTTATGTTACTGTGCTTGTCTAAAATACCTGGTGGTTCTAATAAAGAGCTGAATAGCCAATATCTAGGCAGGAGCAAGAAGAGGCAGGGCTGGCAGGCAGAGAATACAAACAGAAGGAGAAATGAGGATCGAGGAGCAGCAAGAGAACACGGAGAGGGATATCAGGGGCCAGCCACCCAGCCTGCCACAGTGTAAGAAAGTAACATATACAGAAATAAGAAAGGTAAAAGCCCAGAGAGAAAAGGTAGATGGGCTAACTTTAGTTAACTAAAGCTGGCAAGAAAAGAGCCAAGCTAAGGCCGGGCATTCAGAATAAGAATAAGCCTCGGTGAGTGAGTTATTTGGGTGCTGGGTGGCAGGCCCCTCAAAAGGCCAAAAATCCAAAAGAGTAAAACATTATGCAACATAACATTTTGTAGAGGACAATTTATAAAGTGTCTCATCTATCTGACACAGCAGACATGGTATAAGTTAAAGAAACAAGGATATAAAGGGAGACTGCCCTGGCCAGCAGGGCACAACGAAGGTCAAGCCCATGGGAACCTGGAAGGACAGGACAAGAGGCACAAAGAACAAACAGCAAGACAGACCTTCCCATCAAGCTGCATTTAAAGAGAATTTCGTACAGGCTAATATAGGGGAAATGAGGTAGAGAGATAGGGCAGAGGAATGCAGGACAGCGAGGGAGGGGTCATAGCCTAGCAACCAGGCCACTAAAGGTGAGCAGATAACAGGTGTTGGCAAGGAGAAAGGATCGCAGAGGGAGGGGTTAAGTAATCTAATTGTGGAATGTTTCCTTTTTGCCATCGGCTATTCCTGTGAGCCCAAGTTCTATTCATTAGGAAGCTGGGGAGGGGATGGACTATTCTTAAAAAAGACTGATTATATTTACAAGAGGTTCTAAATAACAATGATCGCTCCCAACCAGAGACAAATTGAAGAGTGATTATTTGTGCATGTACATGTTTGTGAAAAGATAGAACATAGGAAGTAACTTAGGGTCTAATTTTAAAGATCCAGTTGAGGATCTGAATGTAGGTGAAGACAGAAAAGTAGGCTGGAACTCACTCTGTAGACCAGGCTGGCCTCAAACTCACCTATTTTGGAGGCCATTTTCTTTCAAGCCACCACAGTGACTAATTTCAGCACTTATGATGATTATGCTGAGGCAGGAGGATCATGATTTTGATGTTTTTATCTACAATTTCAAACACACCCCCTTTAAGACCATCTCAAAACAACAAAGTTTTTTTAACTTTTTGCTTTTTGGGTTTTTGAGACAGGGTTTCTCTTTGTTGCCCTGGCTGTCCTAGAACTCACTCTGTAGACCAGTCTGGCCTTGAACTCACAGATGTGAAGTTTTTGTTATAGGGAATTGGGGGAAAGGCCTACAAAAAGCAAGTCTTGACCGCCTTAATCCATGAATACTTGATACTGCCAAAATTCATGTGTTAGGGAAAATTAGTCATGAAAGCCGTGAGAATATAAAAGAGAAAACGTGCCAAGCACAAAGACATACCAGGACATTTCAATAAAGTATGGCTCAAAGCAGAGTCAACAGAATCATTTTTAAACTGTTCTAAAGTACCAGATGGTCCAGAATCCACCCACAAGACCATGGATAAAAGTATGCCAAGGGGAAAAACAAAGAACAGAATGTAGAGAACAGACTAAGAACAAGAGCAACATGGACTACAGAAAGAATGTAAACTGAAATATTTCAGCCTTCCTCACACTAACATTTAATGCCAATTCCCAATGATAACTAAACTTTTATAAACTATAAATGGTCTTTGTAACAAAAATACTGTCAACTTAAATCCTTCTAATCAGATTGTGTATGGTGATGCATACCTAGGCTGGGTATAAAAAGATCAAGATTTCAAGTAAAGTCTGGGATAAAAAAATAATAGAAGAAAAACTGTCCCTATCCAGAAGTCCCACCTAATCTTCTCCCTCATTTTACATAGTTGAAGAAATATTCTGGAACATGATCAAATGCATCACATCTCTACAGTTAGACATAAAATCTCCAACATAAACAAATGTTAACACATCTTTACATAGTTAAATATTCTGCAACAACCAACCACCACTATCAATTAAACAAATAAAACACCCTAGTTTATCCTTAGCCTCAAAATGAGTTTCAAAAATAGTCCCAATCTTTCATTTGAAAGCATTATTTATATAATAAAAGCAAATTAATTCTACCTGGCTCCTATTTTTTTGTATAAAAGTCTCAAAGTTCACATTTATGTAACAAAATCACAGAGTACTAGGAAAGGTATCTTTTTTTTTTCTTTTTCTTTTCTTTTCTTTTTTTTTTTTCAAGACAGGGTTTCTCTGTGGCTTTGGAGGCTGTCCTGGAACTTGCTCTGTAGACCAGGCTGGCCTTGAACTTACAGAGATCCACCTGCCTCTGCCTCCCGAGTGCTGGGATTAAAGGTGTGCTCCACCAACACCCGGCTCTAGGAAAGGTATCTTAAATAGAAAACTACAGGAAATCTAAAGAACAAACTTACAGCTATATGTACCATAATGCCCATTCTCCCCCAACCCCACCTCCAGACAGAGTTTCACTATATGTAACCCAGGCTGTCCTCAAACTCAAAGATCCACCTGTCTCTGCCTCCTGAGTGTTGGAATTAAAGGTGTGCGCTACCACTGCTCAACTATGATGCCTATTCTTTGTTGTCAACTTGAGTATATCTAGAATTAATTAAAACCCAAATGACTGAGCACACCTGTGAGGAATTTTTTTTCTTAATTAGAAAATTGGAACATGGAAGCTCACAACTACTGATAACTCCAGTTCTAGGGGATCTGATGCCCTCTTTTAACCTCCACAGGCGCTAGGTATACACATGGTGCACATTCACACATGCAAGTAAAACAATCATTCATATATATATAATCTATAAAATCTATAAATCGTTTAAACCATTTGGCCTAATAATTACATCCACCAAAAACTAACCCATACGTAGCTAAGGCACAAGAATATGTAAAGTATTTGCTGCAATGCTACAAACAACAAAAGACTCATCATTAGGTTGACTAAGTTAACTGAGAATATTCACACACAGGACTACCCTGAAATATTTTAAATATGCAGGAACACAGAACGTCCTATATCAAATAATCTAAAATTAATAGTAAAGTTGTAAAATAGCAGTGTGTCAATTTTTTTTTGTTTTTTGTTTTTTTTGTTTTGTTTTACGAGACAGGGTTTCTTTGTATTGTTTTGGAGGTTATCAGTCCAGCCCGGCCTCAAACTCACAGAGATTCGCCTGCCTCTGCCTCCTGAGTGCTGGGAAAAAGGCATGCGCCACCACTGCCCGGCCAAAATATTTTTAAAAGACTACAATGAGAGAAAGAGAAAGATCATTATAGAAAATACACACAAAACTAGCAAGAATAACTGCCTCTGGGAAATGAACGAAGGGCCTAGAGCAGGTAGTAAACTAGAATTAATTATATTTTTTTTTCAGACCTAGATTCATGTTCCCTTTTATTTCTGAAGATAAAACTTACATCCCACATTATGAGCCTCAGTATCCTCCAATTTGAAGTGATGGTAATAATAGCCTGGTTCATTGGTTATTATAAAGATCAAATGAAAGAGCATAAAAAGACTTGTAAATTATAAAGCAGAACACAAAAATTATAAATTATTCTTCTAGATAAATTCTCCAAACAAATTATAGTAATTATCATCATCATCATTCCTATGATCAAACACAAAGATTAGACTATCTGAAAGTACATCCACCATGTGTGACAGTGTATGCCTAGAACATTGCAAGGCCTTGAGCTGGGTTCTTAGTAATATACACCAACACAACTGGGTAAACAAAACTAACTTAATTTAATTTAAAAAAATTTTAAAGAAATCTAA